TCAAACATTAGTGTGTTAGCATTTTCACGGTGGGCACGTTAGCAGCTACCGTTAGCATTTAGCTCAAAAAAGCATGGCTGTATATGTTTGCCTTGTAACCAGCCGCGACACTGGTATTGTTTTTTTTAACTTTAAGAGTGTGTGTGTGTGTGTGTGTGTGTGTGTGTGTGTGTGTGTGTGTGTGTGTGTGTGTGTGTGTGTGTGTGTGTGTGTGTGTGTGAGTTCTGCATTTCGTAATAAGTAATTGCTGTTGTCTAATTTCTCTTTGTCTTATGTAGTTCTAGTAATTTTATTTTAAAAAATGTTGTTTTCCCCCTCGCAGCACATTGTTTACCTCACGAAGTTCGTCCTGTCCTACGTGATCCCCGACGTCACGTACAGGGTGAAAGAGCAGATCAGACGAGAGAAGTACCTGACCCAGGTCATCCTCCACGAGACCAACCTCAAGCTGGTGACCAGACGTTTGAAACCCGTGGACGACGACACGGTCAAGTTTGCGAAGGTGAACTTGACGGGGGAGGAGATGGAGCTTGATTCCTCACAGTGACACGTCTGGAGGAAGAGATCAAACCATACTGTACATACATGAATGAATACACCGTTTTTTTTAGCACTTCAACGCATCTGTTTCCTTGTAAACCAGTGACAAATTAGGACAATGAATGGACATTTGTGATGGGAAATGAATCTGAGAGACAATGACCTCCTTGGCACAGATATGAAAAAGGCTTTCCTACATAAGAGCAACGAACTCAGAATTGCACTTGTTGTTTTTATGTTACCATTTGTAGCCGTTATGCTTTCTGTGGCGTTGTCTCTTCGTGGTCTAATTGTTTTTATGTGCTAATATGTCCCTTTTTCTAGTTGTTACGTGTCGCTTTGTATTTGTTTTGTGTCTCTTTGTTTGTTTGCCATTGCATTTGCTCTTTCTGTGTTTTTTTTTACCCTCTTTTTAAAGTCTATTTGTGGTCATTTTGAGTGTCTTCCAGGTTGGTCATTTAAATTGGACATTTTGTATGTGATGTTCAGCGGGGGCCACAGACACTTTGGTCCACTAATCCATCCATTATTGTGTCGTAACCAGTAGGAAAGAAGACGTCTGAAGTTCATTTATGACGCTAGTGAGAAAAGAAAGGAGAAACCACTGTCCTCTCACAAATCACCAAAACCTTCCTTAGACGGACCAAGATAATATAAGTGCACAAAGTGTGGGATTTTAACACTTTTTTAACTCACTAGCTTTAAGTGTTTGAGTTTAATACTGTTTGTTCAGATCTGAATCCAGTATTACATTTTAATCTGCTTAGATTTAAGTAATGTTTTCTTTGCAACCTTGTTTTGATGCCACAGCAAAGAGATGAAGGGAAATCAAAACAGTGTCTCACACTTTGTAGCTTCACACTAAATAACACAGAAAACATGGTGGAAATGGAGATGATTATTATTATTATTATTGTGTTTATATTATTAGTTATTGTGAGCCCAGTGACTGTTAAGATGTTTACCTCACGAAGTTCGTCCTGTCCTACGTGATTCCCGACGCCCCGTACAGGGTGAAAGAGCAGATCAAGCGAGAGAAGTACCTGACCCAGGTCAACCTCCACGACACCAACCTCAAGCTGGTGATAGCACTTGTAGGACTCATCAGTGTCGGCTTAAAGGGTCAAACACAGTATAGTTTAAAAGCCTCCGAAAGCGTATGGACTTAAAGTTTTTTTTTTTTTTGTTTGAATGTAAATGTTGTAAACCCATTTACATCTTTCGCTTAACTATATCAGTACTGTGTGTTTCAGTCCGTCCATTGATGCTGGGGGCTCAAATCTTTATCACACGCGTAACCAACAAGTGCCATGACAGAGTGATCGTTTTAGTTTAATGCGGTCGGGAAATATCAGTATTATTATATATAGATATATATATATAACCACTATGCTATGCAATGTTGATTGTTAATGGAGATGTTTTTTTCTGTTAGCTGAGGTGACATCTCACAATGTTACATGAGTGATGAGATAAAGGTGTTGGACATGGACTCACCTGTAGCCACATGTGCCTCAAATACCACTTTTTACTTCCAGAGTTCCTGCCCTGCACAATGTTTTATCTGCAATTAATATCCTGTGATATAAAGGCAACCCAGTCATTTAATCCTCTCCTGTGTCATTTCTGAAATCTTAAATTAATGCCTCTGCTGTATTATTGCCTTGCATTGTGATTAATACAATGGTACTTTAACCACCATGTATGTACACAATATCATATCCCAGCAATACATGATGATGCATTTCTGTCCTGTATTGGTTTTATCCTACCATAAAACAGTTTTATAAAAAAAAGGGTAATTCTTGTGTTTTATTTACCTCTTTAAAACCTCTGTATTCACAATTTACCCGTATTAAAACGAAGCAAAGGTGAGCAAAAACAAAATGTCCAGCTGCTGTTATATTGTCTTTTTACTGGCAGTGCATAATACACACTCTCTCTTACTCTAAATAGAGCTTGAATGGTCGTAGATCGTGAACTTGTTGCAGTTTTTTATTTTACTTCAGGATGAGTTGAGCCGAGAGCAGCTGCTTCAGTAGGAAATATGCACTGTACTTTTACTGCTTTGTACTGTAAAAGTACAAAACAGCTGTTTCAGCCATTTCTGTTAATGAATTGTGAGTATAAAAAACACACATACGCGTTCACTGGTTGTGATTTTTAAAAGTATTGTATGTATCATGTACTTCAAAAACCAGGTCCACAGGTCAAGTCTGTGCACCTTCGTTTCAATTGAAAAATAATTTGTCATACAATAAAATGATTAAAACAAACCTGAAAATAAACATATTAGGAAATCTAGAATACGTTTTTTTTTAAACATTAAAAAACGTTTTACCAAAAAAAGTGATTCAAATTAAATTAAAAACTTGAAAAATATATTGGATACAAAAATAAATATTATTTAAAAAATAACAAATAAAATCCTAAATCAAATAAACATGACAAAATATCATTACATATTTTTGATAAAATTAAAACACAAATAAAAAATAATTGAAAAGAAAATAATTATTTTAAAAAAGGGGGATGGAGTTTGTGTTTTGGTGCAGAGCTTTTCTGTTTGCTGCTTTAAGAAAGAAACGTGTTTATCTGATATATGAAACTGTATTTGTCTTTTTTAAATGTATTCATTTGATGTAATTGTTGTATTACTTTATATGTATACCCCTAATGTGAATATAAAAAAATATAAAAACGTTACATTTTTGATCAGGCAGATTTGTTAACGCTCTTTTGACGCCATCCACATGCTCGCAGGACCCTTTCTAACTCACATGTACGCCCCCTGTGTGCATGGAGTGAAACAGTTTGGACACGTTTTAATATATTTGATTGTTTTTGAACGATAAACCACTTTTTTTCTCCAAAATGAGTGCGCAGATTACCTGTGTCGGATGGGTAGCGAGGGGCGTCTCCAAGGAAACCCCGGACAAAGTGAGTAACATAGCAACCGTTAGCTAGCTAGGCTAATTTGTCAACATGGCACTCAAACTATGCGTCTAAAAAAACAAACTTTAGGATTTACTACATAATTACTCACTTTATTCAAGATAAAATCTGCCGTGTAATTTAATATAAGACAAGTTGTGTAGTGACAGTAGTTAACGATGATAAAGAGAGCTAACTCGGTTTAAATGCCAGGAAATAACGTAAATTAAAAAAGTAATGGTTTCCTTGCGTTTATCAAACAATGCTCCAAATTCTTCACTAATTTCTATAACAGGCATCCTCAATTATTTGAAAAACTGAAAATCTTACAAGGGGAAATGAAAGAAAGCTGCATTTCATGTATTTGTAGGCCTATTTGTATTTTATTAATAATGTAGTATAGGAATATACTATCAGTATTATCCTGCACACTTATCAATAACTCACTTTTAGCTTATTCTGTTGTTTTTTGTTTAATAAATGAATTTTCAATGTTTATGAACACATTCCAAATGCATATTAATTATATCGTTATTGTACAAAGCTTTGGCAATACTGTAGGTCATTATGGTCGTGCCAATAAAGCTATTTTAATTGAATTGAGTGACAGCTTGACGTGTGTTTGTTGTTGTATCATGTTTTCTATGGTGGCCATCACGCAATATCTATAGATGTATTAAGGTATGTATTATTACTAAAGAGCTAAGAACAAACTGGAGACCTTGGTTATTAGATCAAAGCTTTTTCCAACTCACACGTTTTTTTTGTTTAACTTATCTAATATGGATATGCTATGTATTTAGAACTGTAACCACACATGCCATAAGAAAACCATCTTTTTAAATTCCATTTCAGGTTGAGTTGAGCCAAGAAGAACTTGCGCGCATCATTAGTGAAGCAAGGCAGGAGATTGGGTATGTTTGAATAACAAAATTCACCTCACTGCAGGAATCTATGTTCAAAATCTGTCCGAATACACCAAAATATGACTTTTATATTCTAGTACAAGCTGAATTGGTTTCTTTGTTTGTCTGCTGAATCAGGGAACTAGCAGCCGAGGAAGAGGAAGACGACGATGAAGGCATCTGTGAAGATAATCTCGATGGTAATACAGCGGAGGACGTTGCTGCCGTCCCAAAGAAGGAGAACGAGGATGGAAAGGACGATGATGACGAGCTGGCAGAGTACGGCCTGGACAGATACGATGAAGAGGATGCAGGTGAGTGAGGAGGTGTTTACAGATTCATTTCTGATCATTCTGTATATTTACCCCGTGTTCTCTTCAATTTAGCCACCTCTAATCTGGGTGACAGTCTGGCTGGGCTGACAGTGTACAGCTGTAACGAGGAGGATCCCTACATCACCATCAAAGACACAGTAAGAGGCTTTAAATCACCTGCAAACTGAATCCTTATAGTCCTATTTCTATTTCTACCTGTAGCCTGACGAACGTATAGCTATGAAACTCTATTCAACTTAAGCACACATAAGTATTCCAGTACAGGATTGTATTTAATGCAATACTTGACTTATAACATGATAATTTGTACATCAATTAATTGCCAGATGTTTTCTTGAATTCATGAAGAACACACACACACACACACACACACACACACACACACACACACACACACACACACACACACACACACACACACACACACACACTACTATACGACTACTACGTAACGGAACTTGGCTCTAATGTAAACACTTCTTGAAGAACCAATACAAATAAAATGTGTTATCGTACCGTTTTAAACGACTCAGTATTGCAAAAATTATTACACTACTGGTACTCTGCCATGTTACACATCCCTTGAC